CATATCATCCAGTAGCTCAAAACACTTTACACCTTTATAACTCAATTAACTGGGTTGTTTACATCTAGTTTATACTTTGGTTGATTGGTTTTGTAGTTGAAAGCGCAGTTCTCTTTAAAGGTACTCAAGTATAGACTATCTTATTACTTTGGGGGTGGAAGTAATTGATTGATGGTCTCAATAGAGAATTCTAGGTCTTCTGTGGGATAGGGTAGACCCCCACCCTTATACTCTGTCCAGTTTATTTGCTACCCTCAGCAAAACTACTGGAATGTGTTTGGCAAAGTCCACAGTTCCAAATCCTGGAGTGCTCTCTGATGACTTAGGGAGCTTCAATATTTTCCTTTTGGAATGCCGTCCCCATGCCTTCTACTAAAGTGTATAGGAAAAGTCAAGGTAGGGCAGGCAGGTAGTGCTGTGGATAGACCACTGGCCCTGGAGTCAGGAGGACCTAAGTTCAAATCCAACCTCAGACACTTGACACTTGCTAACTGTGTGACCTTGGGCAAGTCACTTAATTCCAACTACCTCTACCAAAAAAAAAGTCAACGTAGTGGAGTTTATAAACAAATATTCTTTCTTACTTCCAAGTGCACGGGGATACAATTTGACATGTAAACATAATTTTACTGAGTTCTCATGTTTACACTCCTTACAAAAAGCCTTCCTCCAAACAAAAACAATAAAGAAAACAAAACAGAAAGGGAAATAGGAAAGAAACAAAAGAAACAAAAAAGGAAATAAAAATCAAGTTTTCCTTCTCAGAGGGAAACCCTGGTTCTTATGGAGTCTCAGAGTATGTGGGGCTCTATCAGGGACTTGATTAGGGACTTGAAGTGAACTGGAAGTTATCTTCTCTCTATTTAGGTGAGAAATTTATTTATTTATTAGTTTATTTTTGTGTAGCAACACTAATCCATTTACTTCCAAGGACACTGAGGCCTTTGCCTTCTCTCTCTCACTGAGAAGCATTTCTGCTCTGGGCTCAGATAGGTACTAAGTAAGCAGCAGGGTTCCAGGAGATATTGTAATTCATACTTTCCCTTTCCCACAAAGGGTTCTCTCTCCTCTGGATCCATGCTACAGGTCAGATTTAATTGTGAGCTAATTTAAAAAGTAAAAGAAAACCAAGCCTCCCTTTTTTAGAGGGAAAGCCTGCTCTATCTGAGTTCTCAGAATGCACAGAACTCTCCTCACAGGAATGAGGGACCTGAGTGAGGTTGCCTAGAAGTTACTTCTTATCTTCAGGTAAGAAACCAAACTGTCTTGGGTATAAAACCACCAATAATTCCATAAGCATATAGGATATCCAACGGAGGTCCAAATACAATCTATAGAAGTCCCTTTCCACATGGGACACACCATAGTTTCACCAGGGTCTGTAGTATAAGTGAATCTCTGAGGTCTAGGGATATTTCTTCTGGGTCTCTTCTAAAGAGCAACTGAAATTTCTCCCAGTGGATCCTTGCCTCTTCAAGGACTATTCAAATGGAGTTTCTAATTCGCCCTTCACTAGGGCAAGTAGGTTAACTTAAAAGGAAAACAAATTCATAAAAGCCCTTAAAAAAGATGTGGGGTTCCCAAAAAAGGGATTAATTGTTTGGGATGGATCATTTAGTGTTTCTAGGCCTGCAAACAGACTTTACCCTATAGACCTGCAATTGATAAGGAACTCAGACCAGGTGTTTGGACTCATGTCACAACGAGATAAGCATTCTGGGTCTACTTAAAAGTATACACACAGGCTAAGAACTGGAAATTGAAGGGATGCTTATCAGTTGGGGAATGGCTAAACAAGCTGTGACATATGATTGTGATGAAATATTATTGTGCTATAAGAAATGATGAACAAGATGGTTTCAGAAAAACCTGGAAAGACTTGCATGAACTCATGCAAAGTTAAGTGAGCAGAACTAGGAAAACATTGTACACAGTAACAGCAATATTCTACAATGAAGAATTGTGAATGACTTAGCTATTCTCAGTGATATAATGATCCAAGACAATCCTAAAAGAGTAATGATGAAACATAGTATCCACCTCCAGGGAAAGAACTGATATTGTTTGAATACAGACTGAAGCATGCTTTTTTTTTTTTTACTTTCTTTCACTCTTTTTCTTTTATTTCAGTCTTTTTGTGCAAAATGACTAACATGGAAATGTTTTACGTGATTGCACCTGTATCTAATTGCTTATCATCTCAGGGAGGGGAGAAGAGAAGGAGGGATAGTATTTGGAACTCAAAACTTTAAAAAAAGTTAACAAATTAGGGGAAACACATATTTAAAAAGTATATACATCTATATATACATAGATGTGTGTATACATATATGTATGTGCCTAAATATACATACATATGTATATGTATATGTACCATATATACATTTATGAGCATTTGTAGTATGTTCTAGGTAAACTGCTAGACACTAATGTTTTAGGGGTACAAAAATTCATACAGCTTCTAGTCTAATGTTTATAGTAGGAACACTAATACAACAGATATTGATTTCATTCATTAATTTAAGCATTCAGACAAGGAAAATTTATCACAAAGAAAGTGGTCTGACTGATAAGGAAAACATACTGGAAAACTGACTGTATAGTTACAGCCTAGAACAAAAGAAAGAGAGAGAAAACAGTTATTTTTTCTCTAATGGCTCCTGAAAAGTAGAGAATCTATTAATTAAAGTTTCAGGTGGAGAATCTCTCCAGCAAGTCCCTGTAAATGCAAGGGGTTCGATATTTATCTCAGACAAAGCCTTCACATGTAGCTGAAGCTCACTTCCCCAGCTCCCACTAGCATCGGCAGGTTGGGGCCCCAGAATGTAGCTCCTACTTCTCCTTTCAGTTCTAGGGGTAACTCTGAGAGGTTGGGGATAGTTTTCTAATACTGTTCTGCAGATTTGATTATATCAAATTTAGAAAATTGTAAAGTCCTTTACTATAAAGTTCATATTTTTTTAACAGCATATAAAGCTATGGAGCTTTGAATTGTGGGGCCTTGCCATCAGTTCTGAAGAATCGAAATTGCAAGTGGCCCAAAAGGCAATAGAAAGACATATGGTGTGTATAAGTAGGGTGCAAGTTACTATCACTGATGACTTGTGAGTGATGACATCAAGGATATGTATGAACTGGAAAAGAATGTGGGCTATAGCACAGTGCCTGATACATAACAGGTGCTTAATAAATGTTTATTGATTGTGTAGCAAGAATGAGGAATAGTACAGCTAGTGCAACACTGCTTTGCAAAAAGTACTAAGAGAAGCTGAAGGTCTCTAGTTCATAGGGGTAGATCCTCTATGAAGTATATATAGAAAGATGCTGAATAAAAAATACCTAGGATGAGAAAGCATGGATGTGTTGCAGTCTCTACTAGTGGAGGCAGTTTACACTGACAAGATAGACATCCCTAGAATTATCAAAATAAGATTGTAATTGTTCACATGGCTGCCATTGAAATATTACTGACTCATATGGAACATGTGCTTCATTAAGCGCCTGCATTTTTTTCTTTCACATAGGCATCTTTCAACATCTCCTACCCATTCCATTCTCTCCACTTACATGACCGCCACTCTAGGTCAGGTACTCATACCCTCTGGCCTGCATCATCTATCCGCTACACCACAAGTGTCAAACACACAGTCTGCTGGCTGCATTTGGGCAGGCAATATTCCCAGGTGGCTTGGAATAGATTAAAATGCCATTGGGAAATATTAAACAAAAGAAATAAAAAATAAAATGGAACATGGATAATGTTAATATATGGTTTTCTAAGCCAATACACAGTCTGTAGGGATCATATGTATGGTGTAGTGGCCTCCATTTCTATGTGAGTAGGACACCACCGCTCTACATGACTGCCAAAGTGATATCCCTTGCTCAAGAAGGTTGAGTGGTTTTTAACATCAAATACAAACTTCTCTGTTTGGCGTTAAAGTTCTTCATGATCTAGTTTTTACCTCCCTTTCCAGGATTGTGATACATCACCTCTCTTTATATATTCTAGGTGTCAGTCACCTTTCTCCAGACCTTTGCAAAGTCTATCCTCCACCAGGCCTTGGAATGCTTTCTCTCCTTATCTTCCCCTCTCATAATCTCTGGTTTCCTATGAGGTTCAGCTCAAATGCCGCTTCCTATATGAGGGTTTTCCTGACCCCCTGCCTGGCTGTTAGTGTCTCTCCCTTGATATTACCTTGTATCTATTTCACATATACACTTACGTGTGTATACATTGTTCCCTCTGTTAGAATGTACACCTCTTAAAGGTAGGGATTGTTTCATTTTTATCTTTGTATCTCTAGTTCCCAGCACAGTTAGGCACTTAATAAATGTTTGTATATTAATCTAATTCTACATATTTTTTCCATCCTTCACTCTTAGAGTTGATTTTTAAAATTCAAGTACAGGAATTCACTATTATCACTATGAAATTTTATCTTATAACCTTAGGGCCATTCTAGTCTGTCAACGTGTTTGGTTTTTTTTTTAGGTCCTCATTCTGTCATTGAATGTATCCCTCTCAGCTTAGGGTGATCTGCAAATTTGATAAGTATGGCATATCTATCTCCAACTATATAAGGAAAAACTTCCAATACTGTGGAACCTGTTGTAGAATGGATTCTTAGTCAATTATGGGTTATAGGAGATAGTCTCAGAGGTCCATTTCTACTCTAAAAGTCTGTTAAGTCACTGATGCCCAAATATGGATGGGTATAGTTATTCATACTTACAATTACTTTTATTGTAAAGACTGTCTTTTTAATTTTTAATCCCTATTCCAAGCAAAGAGTTTGCACATACTAGGTGTGGGACAGAATGCTTGTAAAATTGAATGGATATGATTATATTTATGTCTGAATTGATATAATTATAATACTTACATGATTTGGGAGGGAAGCTTTAAATCACAAAGGGCAAAAGGACCTTGAGAGAAGTCAAGGAAAAAAATGAGATACTCAAAGGATGACAAGTTAAGAGAAATAAAATAATCTCACCTGGCTATAGGAAGAGTTGATGTTGGATCCAGCCATTCCATGAAACAAGTAGACAGCTCCTTGGTTCTCTTCCTCTCCTGGTGCTCCCACGGCCACATCTATTATTTTATCTCCATTCACATCCCCGAGCACAGCCAGGGCTGCTCCAAAACGACTGCATGGGTGCCCTGGCTGCCCTCGAAGAACAACTTCACAGCTCCATTTAGCCTTCTGAAAAATGAACATTGTGACACACTCCAAGTCCTGGGCCACCCTTCCAGCCATTCACTTCAGGTATCTCTAGCCAGGACCCAGATTCCCTGCCTCCCATCAATCTACTTACCCCCCGAGGTAAGGGACAGACAGATACTTGGCCTCCCTGGTTCCGTTCAAAGTAATGAGGAGCCCCAATAAGGATCAGGTCAGTGTTGCGATCCCCATTCACATCTACTGAACACAGGGTTGCTCCAAAATAAGAACCAATCTGAAGAAGATCAAGATTAAGTCACTTCTCAGTCTCCACAGGGACTTTAGTGAGCCCTTTTGCTGGACTCATAACACTGCCCTTTGGATCACAAAGAGGGGACTGGATGAGTTCCAAGGTCTCTTCCTTCTCTCACATTCTATGTTTTATTTTTTTTCTTTTCTTTGTTCTTTCTTTCTTTTTGGGGGGAGAAGGAGGCAATCAGGGTTAAGTGACTTGCCCAGGGTCACACAGCTAGTGTGTCATGTGTCTAAGTCCAGTTTTGAACTCAGGTCCTCCTGACTCCAGGGCTGGTGCTCTATCCACTGTGCCACCTAGCTGCCCCTTTTATATTTTTTTCTAAGGATAAGGGTAGAGAAGGAGTGTACTCAGGTGATGTCAGGCTCCTGTGTCATCTGACTCAGGCAAGTTAAAAGCAGAGCGAAGAGTTTAGAAGGTCCTGTTGAGGAGGCATCACCATCAGTCAGCCCTTTGGTATTATCTCTGCCTCTGTGAACTCAGTTGGCTTGCAGCCAAGCCTGATACACATGGTTTCCCCAGGGAAACATCACAGCATGAGGCAGACAAGTAGAGACAAGTGTTCCTTAAGGAACACCCCCATCTCCATCCTGCCATCCCCTCCTGCCCCTGCCCCAGCTTCCCTGCTCCGCCAATGACTGGGTCTTTGTTTTCTTGCTCATTCTTCTTCCAACTAATACACAGAACTAGGCCAGGACAATATAGTAGGCCAGCCTAAAAACTAGCCCAGAGGCTCACATGCTTTCAGTGTTTATAGCTGTCTACAGTTGGCCTCAGAGAGGGAGAGAAGCTGGTGCTCTCATTAGAACTACTAGCAGCACTTGCCATTCTTCTGCCTCCATAGATCAACTAAGTTGCCTTCCTGATTGGGCTAACCAATGGCTGAATAGGACCTTGGTTCCTTCAGGTTTGCATATCATGAAAAAAGTCTTATCTTTTAAGTTGCACAAAGTATTATCCTTTATCTACTCTGTGTACCTGTAATTGTTTATCCATAAAAAGTATATGCTCTTATCGGTCTTGACTCCTGTGTTCATTTTTGTTATTCTCAAGATAACTTGGATGAAAATCTGTATATGGAAATTACTGACCACAAGAAGCTGTCATGAAGGTGAGGCCATAGTTATATTCCTGAGGCTATATCTGTGGGAAAGAACCCCATAGCTTCAGATAGAGAGAGTGAAAGCAGGAAACTGGAGCATTTTGTCATCCTTTCTCTCTGTCCTATCTCTCTTTTTACTTATGCTAGACCCAACATCCACATCACTCACCTGTTTCCCTGTAACCTCAGCTGTCTTCTCCCAAGTGTTAGAGCTCTTTTTGAACATTGCCACCATCCCTATGTGTTGATATCGAGGAGCTCCCATGACTAGATACTGGGTCTTTCTTTGAACAACAACATCAATAGAATAACCTGAAGAGATGAACCCACAAAATAGGGAGTGTATTTTCTCTTATGGACCCCACTTGAAATGAGGGAAGATTCTTCTTCATAGTTCTCATATTCCTAAACATGAGAGTATCTCCCTTACCCAGATAAGCATCATTCATGTCCAAATTCACCAGGGATGTGTTGATGAATGTGGGTTTATCAATTTGGTCATATAGAAAGGCCCCACCAGACCAGTCAAAGCTCCCCACTGTACCCAGTAGAGGCCCTTCCTAGGAGAAAAAGATATTAGAACTAGAGGGGAAGAGATAATTTATGAAATTCTTATTGCTCATCAAAATTGTGTCCATATCCCACTTCCCTCTGCCATGGAAAGAAGTGATGAAGTACTCCATCTACCAATCCAGACAAAAGGACAGTTTTCTACTGACTCTTCTGACTTTTCTCCGGACCTTACCCCAGTTTGTACCACTTCTACCTCATTTCTTCACCACCCTGGATTTGTGTAAAACCTACTCACAGAGGTGAACACACCACTGAAGCCTTCCTGAGACATCTCAAACTCGAAAGAACTATTGCTCCCTGATTGGGTACCTGTGGGAGATAAAATGTCTAGTTTTAGAAAGGGTAGAGAATTAGAGGATGAGGATCCAATCACCTCTATTTCAGAAGAATGTGCTCTAGAGAAGATTTGGAGGGTAGGAATCAAAAGATCTGTGTTTTGGTGAACAGGAAGGAGACTAAGATGTTGGGAGCAAGATACAAAATTGATTGTATAGAATTAGACATTCCTAGGAGGCCAGAGATCTATGTAAGGAGGAACATAGCTGTGTGAGGATGAAAGATACTAGACCTGGACTTGGGCACTGGGAATCCAATCTCACCTTCTATGGCAAAAATCTTCTCTTGTAGTTGGTTTTGGATGTTCCTCAGAGCCTCAAAGTTATCCACCTGAAAGATGTGTTCCTGTGGTGGGTTAGAGGCGATGGTCCTCAGTTCTTGCCTGGCAGTTGAAGTTCTAAAGGCACGTCCCACCTGTTACCAGATGATGGCAGCAGAATCAGGGTCAGCATGTGAACAGGTTTTCACCTTCTGGAAATTTCTGAGGAAACAGAATCTCAACTCTGTTCCTTTTGTTAGGGGACAACTGGGTTCGTGGATGGACAGAAGGAATGATAGCGGGTACATTTATGTCTTACAAGCGAAACTACAAAGGAGGGAAAGCAAAAATGTCAGCTATACTGCTTGAGAAAGAGCCAGGGAGAAGCTTTTCTTGTTCCATACCCCAATTGCGTATCGGATGATCCCTGCTTTCTCTGCCTCTGGGATGACATCTCTGTAATTCAAATTATCTCCCTGTATCTGACCATCTGTGATGACAATGAGGATCTTGGTGGCATCTTTCCGGGCTCCATTCCATTCTTTAAATAGTTCTCGTCTGTCCAAGAAAAAGAAAAGGACAGTTTTCAATTTCCACTAAACCAAGTTGTGACATACTTTGAGAGAGATAAACCAACAGCTTAGCTAATACAGAGAGTTAGGGACATGACAGATTATGAGGTGAACCCTGAGGTGTGTCTAGTTTGGAGGAAGGGAGAACAGAAGATGAGTAACATGACTGAGTTACAATCAGTTCTGGGAGGGGGCATGTATGCAGGAAGGGCTTGATAGATGCCTGAGATAAGATGAGGGTCCTTGCTAATAAGGCCCATTTACCAGTATTCAAATCTAACCATCACTTAGGAAGTGCCTCCCCAATTTTAAATGACACTGTGCCAGGCACTTAGAGATACTTGGAAAAAACACCAAACAAACAAAAAATTAGTCCTCTTGACCTGAGTGAAGGGGAAATGTTTGAAAAGAACACTGGGAAGATCTCAGAGAAGATGGTTGTGAAGGAGCATGCTTTCTCATGATCTCCTTCACAAATAACAATAGGAATGTTGAAAAGAAATTAAATTCTCAGAAATCCTCATATGAAAATTTAAAATAAACCAGCAAACTTAAAGAGAGCTCTCACACAATGAAAATGTGTTTTGAAATAAGAGGCAGAGACAAACATGTCAGAAGAAATGTATATTGAAATAGCATCCATTGTTGCATAAGAAACAATATAGGGCTTTCTGAAATATGCAATTACATCTTCAGAACCAGTCAAAGGAAATGAGAGCACTCACAAGTGTGCACACACACGTGCACACACATACACACAGGTTTGGAATAAAACACGTTCATTGAGTTGAATGTATTCAGCTGAAATCGTTGAACAGGGAATCCAATGAAGTGAATACAATGAACAGGGAAATAAGAGAAAACTGAAAGAAGAAAGTAAGGAATAAGAGGGAAAGCAGATTCAGGAAGGAATTGTTCATAATCAAAATAAACTAAAGCCTTGAAGGGTGAGTTGTGAAGGAGGTTAAAAGGTAAGAAAGAAAGAGAAAGAACCTGTGATTAGTGATTAGGCAAAGAGAAGAGAAAGAGAGCAAGGAAGCAGAAGCAGATTGCATCAAGCATAGATCACTGTGCATATTCCTCGCCCAACCCATTCTTCTTCTTTGTAAAGAGAGAGGCAAAAGGAAAAGAGAGTAAAAAAGTAAAAGAATAGAATAGAAGGAACTATATAATTAATGATTATAACAATGAATGTGGATGGTATCAACCCACCCACAAAATGGAAGAGAATAGCTGAATAAATTAGAAAGCAGAACTAAACATTAGACTGTTTAAAAGAAGCACACTTGAAATATGAAGACTGAGAATTAGTTAAAATAAGGATTTGGAACAAAATCTATTTTGCATCAGCTTAACTCAGAAAGGGGGCAGTAATCATGATCTCAAAAATAAATTTGTTTAAAAGAGATAAACATGGAAAATACATTATGGTTAAAGGCACCTTAGACAATGAGTTCATCAATATTTTATATATGTACTAAATGGCATATCACCCCAAATAAAAACAAAACTCTGGAAACTAAGGGAGTACCTACCTATTGGGGAACTGCTAAAAGAAGAGGTGAAAGAGTTATTTAACAGCAAAAACTTGAGGACAGCAGTCAGGGTCTCAGGCAAGACCAGGGAAGACAGAAAGGATAAACTTCAGACCAGAACAGCAAGACTATCTGAGTCTTACATGCTCATCCTTGCTTTCTCATATAGTGAACTCTCGCAAGAGTTGAGCTGGCCTGACTAGGGTACAATAGCACTCCAGGTGGGACAGAGCTGGCTTATATGTCTGCTAGACCTGGGTAGAGTCACTGATGCTCATCTTGGGTGCTCAGCTAGTATGAACAGTTGTTAGAGTTGGACTTGGAGTCAGGAAGACCTGGTTTTGAATCCTGCCTCAGAAACTAGCTGTACAATTTTGGCCAATCACTGACTCTTTTAGTTTCAGTTTCCTATTCTATAGAATGGGGATAAAAATAGCACATATCTCAATGGGTTATAGTGAGGATGAAATGAGATATCAAATGTAATGCACTTTATAAACCCTAAAGTGCTATGAAAATGCTAGTTATTGTTGTTTATGTCTTCTTTCCCTAAGGGGAATGGTGCCAATATATTTTAGGGATTAAGCATAATCACAAGGGTCAGAGGGAAAAATACTTTTGGATGAAAAGGGTATGAGTCCCTCCTTCATATGACAATCATTTAAATATTTGAAGATTGTTATTAGGTCCTTTTTCCTACATCACCTTTGCAAAGCCTTTTCTACTTCAGACTAAATACCTTCGGTGCCAGGGGTATACTAGTAAATGTTTAACAACTGGCTTTCTGGAGGAAAAATATGTCCACACACAGCATTATTAATTAATCTGCATTATTAACATTTTTCTCCATCACTTTCTTAAGCCTAGAAAAATCAACAACAACAACAAAAAGTCCTGATTTGTAGCTCTAGCTAATTTCTGAGGGGTAAACACACTGAAAATTCAACAACTGGAGTTGGTAAGAGCTGGCTCTAATACCTTCAACCATTCTTCATAGTGCTTGGTTTCCAAACACCTTGAAATCCTAACCATCCTCTTATGGATATCTGTCAATATCTTGACTAAAATGAGATGACCTGAACCAAATAATGTATTTCAGATGCCATTTGACCAGGCAAAATTCAACAGAACTCAAACTGCATTTTGTAATCCTGTTAACATGGCTCAAGATCACATTAGCCTTTCTGACAGCAGCATTACAAGGTTGATTTATATTGTCCGATGGACTATTAGAACTTTCCCAGATCGTAGTTACACCAACTATTGTCTAGTCCTGGTTCCCTCATCTTGCTCTTTTGCAATTGATTTTTGAACCCAACTGTGGGACTGAACTTTCATCCCTGGGAGGATAATAACAGTGAGGAGAAAAAGGCCAAGTTTGGGTCTCAAGCCCCTGTGGAGTTTGGATTCCTCATTCATCCAAAGAAATCTCTTCTGTCAAATGAGAAAGACCAGTCAAACCTAGTAAAGGTTCTTTAAATCCATAGGGATTGGCCAGACCATAGGGTAAGGCTGAGCAGGCAAATTTGAATTGTTTTAACTAGCTAGCTGAAAAGGCAGAAAACCTTCTGGTTTTGATTGTCAGGGATCCCTCCCCCCCAGCCACTTGGACTCCATGATTCATTGAGTTTTTCTGGACTGACCCAATCTCTCTCCATGTACTACAAATCTTGATTAATGTTTGGCTTCATGGTGACTAGCTTAGTTTTCCTAACCAGACTGCCTTGCTCATGGTAACTCCTATGAAGTAAATCAGTGAGATTAGGAAAGAACCTTTTGCTGATATCATTGTAGTCCCTCTAAGGATGTCAATAGCCCAAGATAGTAATTTCTGTTCATCATCATTTTGTGGTGGCCCCAAGAATTATGTTCAATATATTGTTCATTAGAAAGGAAAATGATGTCCTTTTTATAGATGTAACTATTGCTATTAAAATCAATATGGCAGTTAAAGATTTAACTCAAATATCAGGAAACTTCACTTACCTGGAATACCTCAGTCCCTTGCCATTCTGGTTTAAGGTTTACCTGTAGGCAAGCAGTTCACCTCCACCCATTTCATGTATTATTGAATTGTCCTTTTTTTGTAGGCAGGTTGTTGATTTGACTCACATGGTTCCTTTGCTATTCCATACAAAGGCAGTTCAAGCCTCAGCCTATTTGGTCAAGCTTTTTCCACAACTTTTTCATGACTTTTCCTGTGAATTGTCTACATTTTTCTTCCATCTATGTAAAGTTGAGTAACAACCTTGAAGGCAGTCATTAGTTAAATAATCATTAATAACTCAACATCAGAGGTGGAGTAAAGGCAGGGACTCACCTGAGCTCTCCCCCAAATACCTCCAAATATCTTTAAATAATGACTCTAAGCAAATTCTAGAGTGGCATAACCCACAAAAAGGAAGAGTAAAACAATTTTCAGCCCAAGACAACTTAGAAGGTCAGCAGGAAAGGTCTGTTGCATCAGAGTGATAAAGGAGTGCAGTTCAGTGCAAGCCACACCAGCACAGACCAAGCCCCAGCAAACCAGGAGCAGGCCTCAGGGTGACTGAATCAGTGGCAACAGTGGCAGTCTCCAGACCTCTCAGTCCATAGATGGTAAGGGGATTGGACAACAGGTCAGAAAGAGATTTACAAGAGTCTTCTTGCTGGCACCAAGGGCAAGACTCTGTTGCATTACCTATACTTGGATCTAGGTTGCAGTCATGGGTCTTAGTTCCAGTGTGAGAAGGAGCAGTAACACAGCAGAGCTTGTGGCTTCAGGGGAGCAGGGACCCTGGTCACAGTTCCAGGGTTGAAAAGAGTGCTTGTGGTTGCTTACAAATTAGTACAGGAGAGTAGTAAACACATGTCTCTCTAGATCATACCACCTTGAAAGAGCCAAAAACTTACAGGTCCCCAGAATTACCTCTGAAAACAGCCACAGGGGCAGCTAGGTGGCACAGTGGCTAGAGCTCTGGCCTTAGAGTCAGGAGGACCTGAGTTCAAGTCTGGCCTCAGATACTTGATACTTACCAGCTGTGTGACCCTGGGCAAGTCACTTAACCCTGATTGCCTCACCAAAACAACAACAAAAAAAGAAAGCAGATAAAAAAAAAGCCACACAAAAAATCCTGAAGCTTGGGAACAGTGCTCCCTCCACTTGGGAAGTGGAACCCCACCTTACCATAAAATTGAAAGTCAAGAAATAGGCTGGAAAATGAGCAAACAACAGCAAAAAATCTGACCATAGAAAATCACTTTGATGACAAGGAATATCAAAACACACTCAGAAGAAAACAACAAAGCCAAAATTCCTGCATCCAAACCCTCAAAGAAAAATATGAATTGGTTTCAGGTCATAGAAGAGCTCAAAAAGGATTTTTAAAATCAAGTAAAAGTTTAAGGTAGAGGAAAAACTGGGAAGAGAAATGAGAGTAATGCAAGAAAATCATGAAAAAAATAGTTGACAGCTTGGTATGATGCACAAAAAATACTAGATAAAATAACACCTTGAAAAACAGAATAGACCAAATGGTAAAAAAGGCACAAAAATCCAATGAAGAGAAGAATTCCTTTAAAAGCAGAATTGCCAAATGAAAAAAGATATACAAAAATTTGATGAAGAGAAGGACTCCTTAAAAAGTAGAATTGGCCAAATGGAAAAGGAGGTACAAAAAGTTTACTGAAGAAAATAATTCCTTAAAAGTTAGAATGGGCAAGTGGAAGCTAATGACTTTATGAGACATCAAGAAACAATCAAACAAAATCAAAAGAATGAAAAAATAAAAGAAAATGTGAAATTTCTCATTGGAAAAACAACTGACCTTGAAAATAGATCCAGGAGAGATAATTTAAGAATTATTGGACTACCTGAAAGTCACAATCAAAAAGAGAGCCTAGACATCATCTTTCAAGAAATTATCAAGGAAAACTTCCTTGATATTCCAGACCCAGAGGGTGAAATAGAAATTGAAAGAATTCATCGATTGCCTCCTGAAAAACATGGTGAAATGAAAACTCCCAGGAATATTATAGTCAAATCTCAGACCTCCCAAATCAAGGAGAAAATATTGCAAGTAGCCAAAAAGAAACAATTCAGATATCCTGGAGTCACAGGCAGTATAACACAAGATTTAGTAGCTTCTATATTAAAGGATCAGAGGGCTTGGAAGATGATATTCTGGAGGGCAAAAGAGCTAGGATTACAGACAAAAATCACCTCTCAGCAAAACTGAGTATATAATCTTCCAGGGGGAAAAATGGATATTCAATGAAATAGAGGACTTTCAAGCATTCCTAATGAAAAGACCAGAGGTGAATAAAAAAATCTGAGTTTGAAGTACAAGATGCAAAAGAAGCATAAACATGTAAGCAGGAAAGCGAAATCATAGGAGATTCAAGGTTAAACTGTTTATATTCCTGCATGAGAAAATGATATTTATAACTCCTAAAAACTTTCACATTAGTAGGACAGTTAGGAGTATACATAGACAGAAAGCAGAGGTGTGAGTTGAATGTAATGGCATGATAATCTAAAAAAATTGAATTAAGGAATGAGAAAGAAGAATGCACTGGGAGGAGGGGAAAGGAAGAGGTAGAATGGGATAAATTATCTGACGTAAAAGAGGCCTGAAAGAGATATTACAGTAGAGGGGGTAATGGGGGGAAATAGGGGAAGGGAGGGTGTGAACCTTACTCTCATTGGAATTGGCTTAAAGAGGGAATAATATACACACTCAGTTGGGGGTAGAAATCTATCTTACCATACAGGAAAGTAGGAAGGGAAGGGGATAAGAGAAGGTGGGGGGAGCTGATAGAAGGGAGGGCAGTTTGAGGGAGGTATAAGTCAGAAGAAAAACACTTTTGAGATTGGACAGGGTAAAAGGAGAGAGAGAGAGAGAAAGACAGAGAGAGAGAGAGAGAGAAGGATAAATAAAAAAAAATTGCAGTGAGTTTCCCTGATAAAGACTTCATTTCTCACACATATAAAAAACTGAGTCAAATTTATAGAAATAAGAGCCATTCCTCAATTGATAGCCAAAGGATATCAACAGGCAGTTTTCAGACAAAGTATTCAAAGCTATCTATTATGTATATATATATATATATATATATAATGCTCCAAATCACTATTGATAAAATAAATGCAAATTAAAACAACTCTGACCTACTACCTCACACCTGTCAGATTGGCTAATATGACAGAAAAGGAAAATGACAAATGTTGGAGTGAATGTAAGAAGATTAAAACACTAATGTACTATTGGTGAAGTTCAACCTTTCTGGAGAGCAATTTGGAACTATGACCCCCCCAAAAAAGTATACCCTTGGACCAAGCAATACCACCACTAGGTCTGTATCCCAAAGAGATAAAAAGCAAAGGAAAAAGACCTATGTGTACAAAAATATTTACAGCACCTCTTTTAGTGGTGGAAAAGAATTGGAAGTTGAGGAGATGTACATGAATTGGCAAATGGCTGAACAAGTTGTTATGTATGATTGTGATGGAATGCTATTGTGCTTTAAGAAATGATGAGCAGGATGCTCTCAGAAAAACATGGAAAGACTTACATGAAGTGATGCAAAGTGAAATGAGCAGAACCAGGAAAACATTGTACACAGAAATGGTAATGTTATATGATGATCTACTGTGAATGACTTAGTTATTCTCAGCAATACAATGATCCAAGATAATTCTGTAGGACTTATGATGAAAGGTACTGTCCATCCCCTGAAAAAGAACTGGTAGAACCTGAATGCAGATCAACATTACTTCTTCTTTACTTTCTTTATTTTCTTGGGTTTTTGTATGTTTTCTTTCACAGAATCACAACATGTTTTGCATGACTACTCATATATAACCTATGTCAAATTGCTTGCCTTCTCAATGGGGATGATGGGGTAGGAGGAAGAGAATTTGGAACTCATAATTTGAAAAATTATTTTCAAATTATTTTTATGTGTAATTGGGAAAAATATTAAATGAGATTTAAAAAATAACTCAATGTCAATATGGAAGGAGCAATCTAGTAGAGTGTGCCAAGATTTTTTTTTTTTTTGCTTGGCCTTGTGCTGCTTAACATTTATTATCAACAATTTGGATAATAGCATGCTTAGCAAATAAAAAATGAATTAATATTTGAAAAATGCTTAGCACAGTGCCTGTTAAGTAGTAGGCACTTAAATGCTTATTCTATTCCCTTCTATGATAAGTCTGGTGATGGTACAAAGCTAGGTGGGATAACTAATATATTGTATGTGAAAGTAAAGACCCAAAATGGTCTTAACAAGCTAGAATGTAGGGCTGAATCTAATACAATGAAATTTAATGGAACTAAATGGAGTCCCACACTCGGCTTTAAAAATCAGCTTCACGAGGGGGGCAGATAGGTGGTACAGTGGATAGAGCGCCGGCCCTGGAGTCAGGAGGACCTGAGTTCAAATCTGGCCTCGGACACTTGACACTTATTAGCTGTGTGATCCTGGGCAAGTCAGTTAACCCCATTGCCTAGCCAAAAAAAAAAAAAATCAGCTTCACAAATTTGAAATGTGCAAGGCATGGACTGATGGCTTATCTGAAAAACATTTAGGGTTTTCACAAGTGCAACATGACTCAACAGTGTGATATGATAGCTTAAAAAAAAAAGACTAATACCATTTAAGTCTTGACTTGATAACAATTAGAGAAATCCAAAAGTAGAATTGGGTGGCAATGGAGACACTGGACTCTCCCTCAATGGAAGTCTTCAAGCCAAAGCTGGATGACCTTGGAAATGTTGTAGAGATGATAATTGTTTAGAAATGTCTTGGGGGCAGCTAGGTGGCACAGTGAATAGAGCACAAGCCCTAGATTCAGCAGGACCTGTGTTCAAATTCGGCCTCAGATGCATCACACTTACTAACTGTGTGACCCTAGGCAAGTCACTTAACCCAATTGCCTAGCCAAAAAAAAAAAAAATTCTTGTGTCTGACCTTTAAGATCCCTCTCAATTCTGAGATTTTGTGATTTGGTATTCATCTTATTTCAGCCCATTGTTCCAATCTATCAAGTTCATTTTGGATCTCAGTGTTCTCATCTGTCTTGTTAGCTATTCTTCCAATTTTGTGTTATGTGCAAATCTATATAGATATGCTATTGATGCTTTCATTCAAATAACCGATAAAAATGTTGAACAAAACCATTTTGGGCTGAATGCTATGGTCCTCTACTCAGTGCTTCTTAAAGCTTTCTGAATGCACAATGACCAAAAATTAATTCAAAATCAAATGCAGAATGAATCTGAGGTGTTGCTGGCAGCACTTGACCATGTTGCATCACACAACTTCGCTGTAACGTTGGTTCTAGTTTGGTTCTAAGCACAAAGCATGTGCACTTTGCATTGCATATGCCCTCAGGTAATGCAATGACGACACTGTTGAAATGGGAAAAGGGATTGGGAGTGCACTAGATGATGATGATGATGATGAGAAATCAATACAACAAATAATAATAATGTAAAATACTTATCATTAAATGTTATTGCTCTAAGGTTCTCAAAGTGCTTTACATATGTCATCTTTCATTTGATCCCCACTAGATCTCACTAAACACCTCCTAGTCTGAGAAGGTATTCATTAACAATCTTTGGGTAGGGCTGTTCCACTAGGTCTGAACCTACCTAAGTATACAAAGAACAGATAAAATAACTCAGAAGAAGAGAAGAATAAGGGTAAAATCTGTCTTCAAATATCTGTAGGCCTGTTATACTCTAAAGAGATGTTATACTCTAAAGAGAAGGAGCCCCCTTTCTTTATAGAAAGTAACTACTCAACTAGTTCTTTGTTATTCAGGGAGGCTGGATTAGGACCATAGTGTGAAGTAATGTAAGATTATAAAATCATAGATTTAGAGCTAGAGACCATCTAGTCCAATCATCTAATTTTGCAGAGGAGAAAACTGAGACAAGGGAGGTTAAGTGACTTGTCCACAGTCCCTCAGGCAATAAGGGTCAAAGGCAAGATTTGAACCCAGGTCCTCTGAATGCAAAATCAGTATTCTTTGCATTGTATAAGCTGCTTCCCTCTGCTACAAGGAAGCAGATTTTGCTTCACCATAAGAAAGGACTAGCAAATAGAACTGGCTATCCAACAATGAAACAGCCCTCCTTGGGAATGTTTCTGTCAGAAGTCTATAAAAGAAAGTTGGAAGACCACGTGTCAGGGATCCTGTAAGAAAGATTTCTACATGAGATAAGAGGTCGGACTATATGATCTCAAAGGTCACTGAAAACTCTAAAATGTTATTATTCCAACTTGCAAGTCAGGAGCTTACACTACTTTTCTAATGCCTGAGGCCGTGTGTGTACTCCCAGTTAGCTGGTTAATCGGATTCACCAAGTTTCCTGGATCAGGATCATTCTTGAAATCATTGAAGGTGAAATGTATTTTGAAGTCATCAGAGTACTGCATCAGAGAAAACTGGCAAAAGGTGGGGGAGAATGTCTTGGATTACTCTGGAGAACGAGCCCCTATCCAGAAAGCTTAGATATTTACTCCAATCCTATCATACTTTTGGAAACTGTTTGCTTCCCCAACCCTCCCTCTCCCACAGTTCTTTCTTTTCACCCAGTCATTTAACACCCTTCCCCTATTCCCAGTCCTATTTGTTTCCAGTAACAGAACTTGGGTGTCTGCAATCCACCTCACAGCCCTCACCTGTGTGTCAGTTCCCTGGAACTGCTTCATCACCTTTATGACGAAATTCTTCATCTGTGCAAATTGCACTCTTAAAATACTGCCAGAGCCATCGATAAGGAAGACAATGTCATTTGCTTGCTTTGGACACTCTGGGGGAAAGCAAGAAGAAACATGACTTATTATAAATAATCATAAAATAATAGAGTTGGAAGGAAAAATCAAAATGGTTTAGCTCTCTCCCTTCAGGCAGTGAGTGATTGATTACGTCTTTTGGGACATTAGAAAATCATTCATTGAAATTTCCATAACCTTAGTCCCTGAGTAAGTAGAGTGCCACTCAAGAACCCAGCTACCCTGTTTCTTTCCCAGAAAGTCAATTCATTATTTCTGATCATACCTGTACCCCTGAGCCTCCTGCCCTTCTGAGGACTGGTTTCTAAACTTTACTTCAAAAGTTCAATGATTCTGAGATCTCACTGATGTAAGAATTTCTTCCGTCACAACCCATCCATGTGTTCTCATCTTGTGTGATTGTTTTTGGTTTTTAACAATTGAAAAATAAAATTTTATTGATATATTTTGCCTTTAACATCACCTATATTTGTCAATGGGGCTGCTAGCTATTGCAATGGATAGTGTGCTGGGCCTGACTGAAGTCAAGAAGACATCTTCCTGAGTTGAAATCTGACCTCAGACACTTCCCAGCTGCATGACCCCGGGCAAGTCACTTAACCCTGCCTCATCCTCATCTGTAAGTTGGAGAAGGAAATGGCAAATCACTCCATATCTTGCCAAGAAAACCCAAACAGGGGCAGCTAGGTGGTGTAATGGATAGAGCTCTGGCCTTGGAGTCAGGAGGACCTGAGTTCAAATCTGGCCTCAGACACTTGATACTTACTAGCTGTGTGACCCTGGGCAAGACACTTAACCCCGATTGCCTCACAGAAAGAAAGGGAAAAAAAAATCCAAAGGGACTCACAAAGAGTCAAACAGGACTGAAAAGTGATTCAACAACAAAAATATTTCCAGATGTATCTCTCCTCTTGCCCCTCACAGAGAACCATGCCTTATAAAAAAGAATAAAAAAATAGGGAAAAAATCTTTAGTTCATTAAACTGATACATATTGAAAAATTCTGACTTTAAATGCAGTATTACATGCCCATAGTTTCCCACCTCTGCAAAGAAAATAAGATTGTGTCTCATATATTTTCACTGAAGGCCAGTTTTGGTCTTTAAAATCTCAACAACATTCATTTTCAATTATTTTGTTGTTCTTCTTTTCGTTTACTTTGCTGCAGTCAGTTTATATTTTGTTTTCATGACTCTGTTTACTTTACTCTGTATCAGTTCATGTAAGACTTCCAAAGCTTTTTTGTATTTATCCATCATATTTAGCTTCTCTTACAATGCAATAATATTTCATTACATTAATGTACCACAACTTATTTAGCCATTCTACAATTGATGGACATTTACTATGTTTTGAGTTCTTTGATACTACAAAAAGTACAGGTGTTTATGGGGCCCCTTTTTCTATCATTGACCTCTTTGGTACATATGCCTATCAGTAGGAGCTCTGGGTCAAAGGATATCGACGTTTTAGTCACTTTCTTAGGATAATTGCAAATTTTCCTCCAGAATGTTTGGACCAATTCACAGCTCCATCAACAATGCATTAGTGCTCTGGTTTTTCACATCCTTCTAATAGTCACATACCAACTTTTGTCATCTTGGCTAACTTGCTAGGTGTGAGATAAAGCCTTAGAGTTGTTTAATTTACATTTCTCTTATTATTAGTGATCAGGAGCTGTTTCATATGGTTGTTAATAGCTTAAAATTTTTCTTTTCAGAATTGTTTGTTGCTATCCACTGACCACCTATCCATTGGGCAATGGCTTTAGTTCTTATAATCCTGTGCCCTTCTGGTCCATGTTCTCCTATAGATGCTCCCTAGAAGAGCTACCCAGTGTTCTAGAGGCCATCCTGTAGGCCCTTTCACATTTCATAGGTATTAGGGCAACATTCATGCTGTTATTTTGTGCTCTCACCACATGCTTACCCCACCCTCTTCTCCAGTCCCTACATTTCCTCTATAGGAGGAGTTCTTAACCTTTTTCAAGTCATGGATACCTTTGGCATTTTGGTGAAGCCTATGGACTCCCCAGAATAAAGATTTTCAACACACAAAATATAATATATAAGATCACAAGGAAACCAATCATGTTGAAACACAGTTTTCAAAATGTTAGAAAAACAAGCTTGTGGACCAAAGTTAAGAACCTCTGTACTGTCTCTTACTCCATTTCCTGTGCTAAGGTTTATTCCATTTCCTTCTCTCTTTTTTTTTCTTCTCTTCTCTATGCTCTATTCCTTGGCAATGTCTCTAGTTTCCCTCTAATCTGTTCTTTATTGTGTTAGTAAATTAATCTTCCATATGTGTAAATCTAGGAGCAGCTAGGTGGTGCAGTGGATAAAATGCCAGACCTCAAGTCAGGAAAACTGATCTTCCTTAGTTCAAATCTGTCTCAGCCATTTACTAGCTGTGTGATCCTGGGCAAGTCACTTAACTCTGTTTGCCTCAGTTTCCTTATCTATAAAATGGGCTGGAGAAGGAAATGGCAAACCACTTCAGTACCTTTGCCAAAAAAAAAAACCAAAAAAAAAAACTTTGAATGGGGTCATGAAGAGTCAGACATGATTGAAATGACTGGACAACATATATAAATCTAATCACAGCATTTTTCTACTCTTAGCAGTACTTAGCATAATACCTGGCATACAGTAGGCACTTAATAAATGCTTGTTGATTTGATGTCTCTGTTCAAAATCCTTCAATGGCTCCCTATGGCTTACCAAATAAAGTCCACATACCTTAGCCTGCTGACACAAGTTGGCGCAATCTTTTGGAAGTCCTACCCATTCATCTTTATGACTTTAACTATCACTATATTAGTCTCAAACCTATGTTCTTGTTCTTTTTGTTCAGCTGCATTTGGCTCTTTGTGACTTCATTTGGGGCTTTCTTGGCAAAGACACTGGAGCACTTTGCCATTTCCTTCTCCTGCCCATTTTACAGATGAGGAAACTGAGGCAAACAGCTTTTTCACTCTAGCATTTCTATCACCCTACAGAACACATCTGCTTGAAATCGCTGGCAACATGAACTCAACATACTCAAAACTGAGTTTATCTTTTCCCTAAAACTTAATCTCTTCCTGATTTCCCAATTTCTGCCAGTGCCAAAACCATTCACCCTGTCTTCCATATTTTAAACCTTTGTGTAACTTTTGATTCTTTCTTCTCCTTCACCCCCACCCAGTTTGAAATAATAATTTCTTTCTGGGAAAGAACACTTTTGTACCCTTCTTGTGCTCTTATCCTGTTCTATTCTTTACTTTGATTATTTATAAAGTTACAGTAGAAAGAGATAATGTGACATAAAGACTTAGGTTCAAATCCTATCTCTGATGCTTACTAGCTGTGTGACCTAGGGGAGTCATTTAATCTCTATGTGCTTCAGATAACTGCCTAGGATAGATCTCCTAGTTGTAGATGAGTGCATTGGTGAAAGGAATTTCCAAGCTGGGAGTTCCCTGTGCTGATAAAAGCACAGACCCTTTTTGTATTCAGGTATATGGTAGATTTGTATATGCATAAACTCCAAGAGAACAAAGACTTTGACTTAATTGTCTTTGTATTTCTCCCAGTGCCTATATATAATACATACTAGGCACTTAATAGTGAAACAATGAATGAATGAGTGAATGAATATATGATACATAGAATACACTTAATAGTATTGAAATAATGAATGAATGAATCTTTGTTCTGCCTGGGACTCAGGACACTGTGGACCTCAGGAAGGATCACCTGGGATGATGCTGACCTGGCCCAGAGTTGTCTGATGTCCTCCAGGGCTGTGTTTAATTGCATTTCAGTATTCTGGCAACCGCTGTTGGGATAATCATGTGTACCATATAAGAAAGTGGCCTACATATATCACTGATGTTATAGACAGTAAATATAGATATGAGAGCCTGATACATCCCTAAGTTGACTGAATCAACACCAGGCAAATAATCCCTACCTTCCCTGGACCCCTGACACACACACTTATCAGTTCGACTCACAGCCTTGTGGCTACTCTTTTCATATTCTCCATACAAGAATCTGGGCACCCCAACAGTGACTTACCTTGTAGGGATTCTGGGAAACTGCGCACTTGCCTCAGGTTTGAATCCAACATGAAGCACAAGCCGTTTATATATGCATTCTCTTTGCATGTTTTGTGTACTATAGGACCACAGGCCTGGGGAGCAGAAGATATTTGAGGGGAATTCTTCAAAACATCAACTTTTTCTGCATCTAGACATTTTGCTGTCCAGCCTCCACCCTTCCCTGCCTTCTAGACTCCATCATTCTCCCATTATTTAGGTTGACTCACCAAAAGCTGTGAGGGGTTTACTCCAGCAGCCAGAGTGAGTCCTAGGGACATGTTTACTGCCTCTGGGGGGACTGGGGAGACACAGACATTCTTTGAGAGTGTTGTCAAATATTTGGGTTTCTGCATAGCTACACTGAGAGCTACTGTGGAGGATGTCTCAGTCCTAAGAAATATGTAGGGTCTGGAAAGTTCAAGGAAAAATATCTAGGTGTTTGACTTAGGTTTTTTTTTTTGGGCGGGGGGAAGGTGATCGTTAGGGGTGGGAGGGTACAGCAAGGATGGGAAAGTGATGAGTTAAATGGTGGGGAACCAGAAACCTGAATTCTAAAAAGGGAGCTCAGTCTGTGAAGGAGAGCAGAGGCTGAGGAGCAGGGTAGCTGGGTTCTCTAGTATGTAAAGTCCTGGAGTAGAGAGAATGTCAAAGACACAGGGTGGGCTCCTGGGTCAGGGGCTTTTACTCACCATTAATGGGAATGGCTGTACAGGTCTTAGTACCAAATTCACATTTGTAGAGTTGCCCTGTTTGGTTAGGTGATGTTCTCTCCAGGGGCGCCCCAATCACCACTCTATGGGGAGAAGTCTGAATCTAATACCACAGGGGACAAGATGTGCAAAAGACCTCCCGCTTGGGGGAAATGGAGAATGGAGGAGAAAGCTGTATTTTCTAGAAAGAATGGAGAAAGGGAAGGGAGGGGCACATAATCCAGGGTAGAGAAAAGGAAGGCATTCACCAGCAGAGAAAGAATTATTGTAATACATAGCTTTGTTTTAATTCTTGCATAATTCTTGATTCTGAGTGAAAGAAGTTGTGACTTTTCTCCTGAACTGTTAGAAATGGAGAAAGCATTTGAAATCAGAGAGGAGGCTGGGGGTGGAGGGAGGAGTAAAGCTGTGTAGACAAAGGTTTCTGCAGCCCTCTTCATTCCTAAATTATAGGATTATAGATTTAGAATTGAAAGGAACCTGAGAGGTCATAGAAGTCATCTAGTCCAATCTCTTTATTTTATTGTTGTTGGTCAGTTGTATTTTTTCAGTCATGTCCAACTCTTCATGACCCCATCCGGGGTTTTCCTGGCAAAAATGCTGGAGTGGTTTGCCATTTCCTTCTCCATCTCATTTTACAGATGAGGAAACTGAGGCAAACAAGGTTAAGTGACTTGCCTAGGGTCACTCTGTTAGTTAAGTGTCTGAGGCCAGATTTGAACTCAAGAAGGTAAGTCTTCCTGACTTCAGGCCCGGCACTCTATCCATTGTACCACCCAGCTCCCCATTTTACAGATGAGGGACCTGAAGTCCTTACCCAACTTGCTCAAACTGGACCACACTCTGTCCAAAGCCAGCTCCATTTTCCTGGAAGACTGTTGCACTCTCGGTGTCCAGATTGAAAGCATGAGAAGAGATCAGCCCTAGAGAGAGGAGTAGTGGGAGACAGTTTGGAGAGAAATTTTTTCCCCCTCTGCCTAGACTTCTCCTCTAGAATGCGCTGCTTTGCAGACCTACTCTGTCCCACAGACACAAGTCTGTTGTTGCCATCATTCTCGTCTCCTTCCTCAGTCACACTGCTCTCTAAGGTTATTAGGGCCATTTCCCCTAGCTCTTGGATTTCTAGTAGTGTCCCACTGTTAAATGGCTGTCCTTTCTCTGTCCTACTGCTTTGCCCAATATAGTTTTCTTCTTTCTACTCAATTGTGTAATTTCCCCATTAAACAGATTTCCCTTCTTTTCTTTTACCTTTCACTATTTTTCCTCACCCCCTAAAAAACATATATATGAGAGTGAAATAGCTAGTCCCCTCCTACCCCTCCTCTTCCAGAAATTAGATAACGAAAGTCAAGGCTACTCCAAGCCCTTCTCTTCCTCCTGAAAAAAAAAAAAAATCAGACACAATAAGGGGTAGCTAGGTGGCACAGTGGATAGAGTATCAGCCCTGCAATCAGGAGGACCTGAGTTCAAAGCCGGCCTCAGATACATAACACTTACTAGCTGTGTGACTCTGGGTAAGTCACTTAATCCCAACTGCCTGGCTCTGCCCCAAATCAGACACAATAGAGAAACGCCTTGGTGTACTCTCAGTCTGATCCAAGGGTTCTTAACCTAGGGTTCATGGACTCCTGAGTTGGCAGGGGATAGACTTCAGGGGGTCTGTAAACTTGGACGGGAGGAAAAATCACATCTTTATTTTCACTAACCTATAACTGAAATTTATCATTTTCTTTCCTTCAATTATTATTTTTTTAAAAAAAATTCTGAGGGGTCCATAGGTTTCACTAGCAACCAGTTAGTAGCTAGGCTAATTGTAGATAGAGCTCTGGTCCTAGCATCAGAAAGACCTGAGTTCAAATCTTGCCTCTGATACTTACAATTTGTGTGACCTTGGGCAAGTCACTTAACTTCTATTTGCCTCAGTTTCCTCAACTATGAAATGAGCATAAATCATTATGCTATCTTAATAAACTATTACATTATATTATAAATTATATATGTTACATAGTATAGTATAGTATAGTACAAATTATTATGCACCTACCTTACAGGATTTTTGTGAGGATCAAATGAGATAATATTTTTAAGGTGATTAGCACAGTGCCTGGCGCATCATAGGAGCTACATAAATAATTATTCTCTTCCCTTCCTCAACTGCCAAAGAGGTCCATGACACACAAAAAAGTAAAAACCCTTTGTCTAATCCTTTTCTGCACAGGTTCTTAAAGCCCTAATCCCTGCCCTTTCTCCAACTCTCAGTATCTAGAGCCTAATCCCTTACCTCACTCTCCATTCTTATTGTGTGCTGGTAAATATTTAACTGATGCTCCAAAAATGCATGCACAATGCACATTTAAATTTAATCTGCATTATTAACATTTTCTTCATCACTTTCTTAAATCTAGATAAACAACAGAACAATAAATCAAGCTCTGATTTGTAAGGTTGGCTTATTTGCAAGGTGTAAATGCTCACACTGAAAATTTAACAAAGACTGGAGATCAAGGTCTGGCTCCAGCACACCCCTGCTTCTATCTCTTGCCTCACTCCCTATTTCTATTTATGTGTATTCAGCTCCTGTTCTCAATCCAACAAGCCCCTAAAATGTCTGACCTCTCCCTCCACTTGAAACCTTCTTCTACTGTTTGAATTCTGAGAGATCCTCACTCACCTGTTAGCAGGAAAAAGGAACCTGGGACCATGCTTGGAGTCTGCCCTATTGTGATGCTCCAGGTTTCAGAGCTGCTTCTAAGAAGCAGCTAAAAAACAGATTAAAGGGATGGAGGAACAACAGCAATAAAGAGTGGTCAGGAAACCAGCAGCAAGGAAGGAAAAGGGTGGAGAAGCAAAAGAAAGAAATTGATTCGTTGGCACTCTTGACACACAGCCTTGGCTTTGGTTTCCTCCTGGACCCCAGTCATCTTATCTTTACTGGTTTATTGTCTGCACAGATTTCATGCCCCAATCAACACCAGACTCATTTGAAGTGACATGGATGAATGAAAGTAGAACTAGCAATATCATCATCATCATCATCATCACACACACACACACACACACACACAAAGAAAAAGGGAAAAAAACAAATTTCAATCAAAAATCATCTTGCTCATTGTGTGGTCATAGGAAACATAGCAAGGTCAATAGACTTAGTGTGACTTTTATCTTGGAAATTTCAATGTGAACAGGACAAAAAGCAGGCAAGGAAGTGAATAGATCCAGAACAGAATGGAACTCAAGAGCTTTCCCCTCTCCATTGGGTTTTTTAAAAAATATTTTTATCTACTTCATTAAATATTTCCCAATTACATGCAAACAAACTTAACATTCATTTAAAAATTTTTTTGAGTTCCAAATTCTCTCCCTTCCTCCTCTCCCCTACCCATTGAGAGGGCAAACAATGTGATATTAACTATACATGTGAGGTAATGCAGAATGTATTTTCATATTAGCCACGTTGCAAAAGAAAATATACAAAAACTCCAAGAAAAATAAAGTTTTAAGGAGTATGTTTCAATCTTCACTCCGAGTTCATCAATTCTCTCTCTGGAGATGGATAGCAGTTTTCATCATGGATCCTTTGGAATTGTCTTGGATCATTTATTGTCTTGATCAGAGCAGGTACGTCTTTCACAGTTGAACAACATTACAATATTGCTGTTACTTGTACAATGTTTTTCTGGTTCTGCTCATTTCACTTTGCATTAGTTCATATAAGTCATTCCAGGTTCTTCTGAAACCGTCCTGCTCGTCATGTCTTACAGCACAATAGTATTCTATCAAATTCACACAACATAGAATTTTTTCAGCCATTCCCCAATTGATGGGCATCTCTTCAATTTTCAATTCTTTGTCACCACAAAAAGAGCTGCTATAAATATTTTGGTACAAATAGGTCCTTTCTCCTTTTCTTTGATCTCTTTGAGATACAGACCTAGTAGTGATAATTGCAAGATCAAAGGGGTCGTACAGTTTCATAGCCCTTAGGACGTAGTTTTAAATTGTTCTCCAGAACAGTTGGACCAGTTCACAAGTCTATCAACAGTGCATTGGTGTCCCCATTTTTCCACATTTCCTCCAACATTTGTCATTTCCCTTTTCTGTCATGTTACCAATCTGATAGGGGTTGAGGTAATGTCTCAGAGTTGGTTTAATTTGCATTTCTCTAATCATTAATGAGGTAGAGTATTTTTATGTGACTTGATAGCTTGACTGAGTCCCAAGTTTTACAGAACAAATCCTTTTATTAAGGGGATTTGTTCTGTGAAGTTTGGAATCAGCCAAAAGGCCACACTTGAGGACCAAGAGGGTCACATGTGGCCTGGAGGCCGCAGGTTCCCCACCCTGGTCTAATCATTAAGCTCATCTGTTCTTGGTGGGGGAGAGAGAGGAAGAATGGTCTTTACACCTCACTTCATGACTCCTATTATCTACTCATTAAGTTTCAAGTGAAGAAGGAGAGAGCCAGCAGCACTCAGAGGCTGGATCCTCTGCTTGAATCTGCCAGCCTTCCTCCCTCTGTGGTGGGTGGCAGGAAGAATGACTGCCCATAAAGGCTTCCAACTTCTTTCTTCCAGCTAAAACACAATCCCAGAAATCTAAGTTAAATCTTATCACCAGCTGATGAATTCTGAATAGTGTCTGCTTGAGTCTCTCATCTCCAAAGTCTCCAAAGGTGGTATGACAGTAATTATAAGTAGCCAAAAGTGTAATGAGCTGCCTTGGGAGATAGTGAGTTACCCATCACCGAAGGTAGGCAAGCAGCAATTGGTTAATCAATTTTTGGGAATGTGGTGGAAGGGAATCCTATTTAGATATGGGTATAACTCCATGATCTCTCAGGTCTCTGCCAACTCTGAGATTCTGTGATTCTCTGACTTGGTTTCTCATATCTTGAACCTCCTAATCTAAAATACAGGTACAGAAAATCCAGGTCCACTAAAACAGCTTTCAAAGGGGTGCTTCTTCAGCCCCTAGAAACACTGTTAACTTTCAGTCAGAGGCTTCCACTCCTAGACATTCTAGAGTGGTAATCATTGCTCTGAGATAAAGGTATAATTTTGAAAGATGACGGTAATGCTTCAGCTTATGGTTGAAGAATCAGGATGTATTCACAGGGGGAAAGTAGATGGCTATGCCATTTTCACATGGATGCTGCTGAGGTTTACAGTGCCCCATTAAAGGAATTTTCTTGATTCCCTCAAGGGAATGGGATACCCCTTATAAGCATAGAGATGCTCCGCCTCCCCCATCCCAAGATGGTAAGGTAGCTCCTCCTCGATCAGTGATGGTGACTATATTTTCTAAACCAATAAAAAATAGAGATACACGGTCTGCTAAAGAGGATTCTTCTTGCATTCATTAAAATACACTTTTTTTTGTAATTGAGACTCTCCAATTAGTAAAAGATGTATATACTATTCATATCTTCTGAACCAGCAATCACATACTTCAAGAGGACAGAAAGATCCCGCATTAAAAAAATTATAGCAGCACTTTTTGTGGCTGGATAAAAGTAGGTGCCTATCAGTGGAAGAATAGCTAAACAAATTGCACTGTATTAATGCAATACAAAATCACTATGCTGTAAGGATTAATGAATATGAAGAATTTAGAGAAAAATGGGAAGACTCAGCAGAAGGGATGCATGGTGATGAAAGCTGGATCGAGAGAACAAGATATGAAAGGATGGTGATAATGTAAAAGGCAAAATTAAGTTATTTCATATGACCAAGCTTATTCCTGGAAAATATATGATGCAATACACTTCCCTCTGCTCAGTAGGTTGCATATACTATCAAATATATTTGATTTGTTATTTGGTTTTGCTGCTGCTGCTTCTGCTGTTGTCACTGTTGTCGTCATCATCACAAAGCATGATTCAATGTTGGGTTGGGATTAATATTGAGAAATGACTATGTCATTAAGAAAAGGCATTTTTGATAAAACACTAAAAAAGAAGATGTCATATGGGTATTCTTCTTATCCATAGTGGTGTTCAGTTGCTTCAGGTGACATGGAGTAGAGAGAGTGGAACCATAGTCCCTCACGCAATGAACAAATTCCTGAATACTGGCTTTTCACTCTACAGATGATGTTTATAGTTGAGATGATAATGTCACCTAATTTATAGAGTAATTGTGATGTTCAAATGAATATATGTGTGTGTACATAAACTTTAATAGCTATTAGATAGCTATTAATGTTTTAAGAAGTTGAAAAATGAGATTCAGTCCTTGCCTGCATTTAAATACCTGGGCTCCCTCACCACTCTCTCCCTTCTTACTCTCTGCACCTCCCAACAATAGTACCTCTTCAACTGGATGCCATCAGTAATAGCCAGTGTGAACACAGAGAGTAGTGTACCTTACTTAAGCGTCTGGTTGCTGTCACAAAGTGTGTACAGCAGAGGGTCATAGGGCCACCCAAAGGGGGATTATAGTCATCTATCACACCTGGAACAGCTGGGCACCAAGGTAAGCTGCTACTGACACATCTATCACGGAACACATGAAAGAAGTGGGTCAAGCTCTCACTCCCTTTCCCTTGACCCAGGGCTCTGACTCATTTGGCAATTCAATTCTATTCAACGTAATTCAATTCAACTCAACAAGTATATACAAAGTTCTTGTTGTTGTTGACAACAAGACTCTTAAAGAGAGGTAGCTAGGAAATCCTGGGTTCAAGTTCCTCCTGGCACACACTAGCTATTTGAACAACTATTGAAGACTTCCTAAAACTATAAATTGCTGACAATTGTTGAATGGTGTCAAATGAGGGAGTTTCCATGCTAATAAAATAGTTTCCATATAGTCAGACTAATGAAATAACAGGTTAGACCCTCCCCCCTCCCCCAAAAAAAGACAAACAAGAATGTACAAAGCATACCACTATGTGTTGGGGATACATAGCCAAACAAACAAAAGATGACCAGTTCCTACTTTTGAAGGCTTCCTTACATTCTACTAGAGATCATAGTCACTGGAGTGGTCCTTAACCACCCACCCAAGGGGGCTGGGCCCCTTACCAAGGAGAAGGCAGGACCAATATACATGAAAGTTAGATAACAATAAGAGGCAGTATGTGCCACAGGCCAAATGAATGATCATTACTTTCACTAATTCTGTAGGAATTAGAGCAAGGAAGGGATCACTACGGGCCGGAGTGGTCAAGGAAGGCCTCATGGAGAATAAGAGGCTTAAACTGAGGCTTGAGAGAGGGGTAGAGGTGTTGATGCAATTCATTTCAATTCAACAATCATTTTTAAGCACCTATTATGTGTCAGGCACTTGCTAGCTGCTGGAGCAAAAGCAAAAATGAAAAGTCTACCTTCATAAAATTTTCATTTTACTTGGTGGAGAATCGGAAAGAAGAGAATGGGGTGATTCAGGTAGAGGGCACTAAATGAGCAAAGGCACAGAGGTGAGAGGATATAAGGTGTATTCTCAGTGACGATGAGACCAGATTGACTAGTGTACAGGGAATGTATAAACAGAGTAGTGTAATCTGAGGTTGGAGATAGATTGTGGAGATCCTTAAAAGCCAAATGAAAGCATTTGGAATTTATTCTATGGAAAATGGGGGAGCCATTACAACCTTTTGAATCTGGAAGAGGCATGATCAGAGTTGTGAATTAGGAAGATCAATCGGGTGGCCAAAATGGGTGGGGAAGGAGGATGGAAGGAGGTAGGGGCTCCTTTCTTCCCAGGTGAAGTCCACAAGTTTATTAGGGGCATAGTATTGTGCT